TTTGTTCAAATACTTACGTCGAAATTGCAGAATGAACGTTCATTGCAACAACACATTATATGATAGTGATTGGTGTGGTTGGCTGGTCGCAACGGGCACTGCGCATCAATCGCTAAAAACGGATGCCGTGTGAGACTGGATGTTTGCTTTCATCCTCCGTCATGCTGTGTAAGCGCAAAGGTCAGGAAGTGTGTGGTAGAGTAAGGAAAAAATCTCATCCTTTCTTACCCGCAAAAAATTAGTTTCCATTAGACAATTCTTTTAACATATCAATCATTTATTTCAATGCTACGTGGCCAATGGCAAAAGCAGAACGAATGCTGGCTGTGACGACGAAAGCAATGGAGTGAAAAATGCCTAGAAATTTATTTGATGAGAAACCAGTCAAGAAATTTCAAACTAAAATAGTGCACTTCATTCTAAAGAAAGGGCATTTTGGCACTTATTACACTTAGCACTGTCTATTTCAGCTAGAACTCTTTGATGTTCCACTAATTCTGTTTCCCAAAACAACAGCGTGCTGAAGTAAGCACCAACCCTTGAAAGATCCGATCGGCAGTAATTGTTGAAAACTTACGAAGAAGCTCCATGCAACGAATCCGAAGAACGATAAGTTCCCGGCGATCCCACGTACTTGCATTGAAACAGCTGAATTCTTTCACTGACCGTAATTTTTTAGCAACATCGTCACCACCGCTATCACTATAAATATCACCATCAACAGAGATATCATTATTATTCCCGAAGCTGTCAGGTGCTACAGTATGCTGCCGAGCAGTTTCAGTATTGGTGCCTCCTGCTCAGGACGATTTGTTTTTGAGTGACAGTCGCGGTACACTGCGCTCGGTCGCTGTTGTTCATCGCCCTGGCGCCTTTTTCTTCGATGGATAACCCGACAATGTCGCTCGCTTTCTTGTGAAATAGGAGTACGGCCGAAGTCCGAGTCCCTTCTCTCTACCTTAGCTCATCGTCTACAGACTAAATTCACAGCAGTTCTATAAATCAACAAAAAGTTAAAAACTGAGGCGAAGCTTAGTCAAACGGAACGACCGGCGGGTTTTGCTTTTTATGTGTGCTAAAGAATTCCATTCACGAAAATTGAGATTCCCAGCTTTCCTAATTCCACAGTTGAGATATGTGGATACAGCGTATATCACGGTGTCGCCTTAATGCATTATTACACTAATGTAAATAAAGACGCATAAGGAGGTTTATAAATTTTGTTTTTTGCGAGACGGTTAGATCTATTCAGCAACTGTAGCCGATACACAGAGCTATCAAAATGAATTGCCGATATATAAAATTAAAAATACTGTACAACAACAGCAATGAAGGGCATGGCACTGTGGGAATACTGTCGCGGTTCGACTCCGCAGTGGGACAGCCAATACCTCTGTGATTTGATCATTCGTTTCGTTTGGAAACTGGTATTGACGCGGTGTCAGGACCACCGCCGGCTTGCCCATTAAAAATCCGCGAAAAAGGGGCCATCGACAACTTTACCAACGGGTGGTTGCTGTTGGTATTTGCTACTACTCTCGCTATTTCCCGTGTGCTTCTTGAACAGGCGGTATCTTCAAAACCAATTTCGACAAAAAAAGCAAATGAAAATCGGGAAGCTTTCTTACTTATCCCATGGTGAAGTTTTCGCAAGTAGTTCCGCAGTCTTGCTTGCTTCTTTTCCTTCCACTCTTGTTACGGACCGCAGTGTTTGCTCCACATTCTTATACGCTAACTCCATTTTTTGTAGTGCTTCGTCGCGCGTAAACGCAATTCCACCATTCGATATCAAGTGGAATTCGCAAAACTGTAATTTCATGCGTTTCTTGCAACAGATTTAACTTCCCTCGTGGCCTGCAGAAGAAGTGCTTAGATCTGCAAAACTGCACAGCGCCCGCAAGTCTAATGGCATACCAATGGATGCTAATGTGATATGCTTCGCCCATGGAACACTACACATATGTGGCATTTATGAGGTGCAAAAACAAGGGCCTTCATGACAATACGAACTCGTTTACTTCTTCTTAACTAATATGCTTAAAACATGGTCATTGGCGAAAGCGACAAAGCAAGCGATGGATGTAGCAGAGAGTAACAGTAATGCGTTTCGATTTTCGTAGGTTCATGCATCCAATAACATCTCTCACATGAATCCTTACCGACCATCCTGGCAGCTTTGACAGTTCTAGCAAAAGCGATTTTCAAACGCGCAGTGGTTGCTTAGACAGATTTTTCAGAAACTCACGGATGGGGTTTTCACATTGTCACTTTTGCTGGTGCTAGTAGATCTTAACTGAGCCGATTTAAGGTAATTTCTAGAAGGAAATGTGTAAAAATCGAACTGCATTACTGTTACTGTTTATGGCTTCTTTTCAAATTTTCCACAGCTTAGCTGCACTTATTTGCATAGCTGCGCTCGACATGCCAAAATATCCTAGTGACATTACTGACAGGGATACCCATAGTGATAGCCTGAACGATTTTGGAATTCTTGGTATTTGTACATATGTTGCATAAGCAATTATAAAAGGGTGCAAGAGATCTGCCTGAATTCCTCATATGACCTTAGAATAAAATACAGAACGTTTGAATTCGGCAAAACCAATCATCGTGGTCCAGAATTGGCAGCATTCAAAATGAGGTGACATTTGGAATGGTTGATACCATAGGTGGATCCAGGGCGGCCTCCTAGGACCGGGGGAGGGAGGGGAGTAAGAAAGGAAAGGGAGTGGGGCTTTACCGGCGACGATCGGAAGAGGGGAGGGGGTGCGACGGGTGGTGCAGAAGAGAGTTTTCTTCAGTTTTAGCTTTAGACCCAGATTTTTGTAGCGCTGGCAGCTGTGCGCTGGGGAAAGGAGAGGGAGTGAAAGGCCCATCGCTCTCCTTTCCTCTCCCCGCCCCCTCTCCTTGGATCCGCCTATGATTGAGGCCTTGCCAAGTAATCCCATCCGGAGGACAGCTGATCGAGTAATCCTTCCAGGAAATCAAAAAAACGTCAAGATCACCAGCAGACGAACCCACTAGGCGATGCAGTACAGGTCAAACTAGAACCCAGGCTGGAACGCAGCAGGCTTGTCGGTGCGATCATGCGTTTTTGCACGAAACTCGCAGATCCCTAATAGCAGGAACGACTCCTGTGCTGTAGCCTAATAATTAGGTTCATATTAGCCGCGCTCTGGCCTCTTCAGACATGCAGCAGAAAGGGCGTCAGTTGGGATGAAAATGTTGCATTATAAGGCCGCATGAACGTTCAGGTACATGATTATCAGTTTTTTTGCATGAAACCCGGTCGTTTTTCTAGTAAATACTCGCTGTTCGAAGAAATGCGAATTTCCAGTTCACTGAAAAGTAGAAATATTGCTAGAGCGGTTATTCGTCAAAAAATCCAAATTTGTAAATGAGTCATTTATATGTTGGAAGAGGATGAGGGCGACCGTTCACTGCAAAATGCACTCGTTTCTGAATTTTCGGCAAAGTCGAATATTTCTCATGCCCACCTGCAGGGAATTTCATTTTCAAATAGAAATAAAACTGCACTTGAGAGAAGGATTTCCCAGTGCAGTTTCAGCCTCGCATCTTATCGGGTAACCGAAATAGTCACTTCGCTACAAATATCTCTGAAGTGCCCTAAGTCGTGGCGCAAACGCAAATCGGTACTCGTTTTAGTTGTACGATTTTCACATAGACGATAAACATGCTGACAAAATTTCAGCCCTTGTTTTCTGGCAAGTTTTCGAGCTAGTACAGTACCAAGTTGCAAACTTTGACTTGGTCGTACGCGCTGCACAAGCGTGCGCGACAGCTGAATTTGAAATCCTCAGCTCGCACATGCACAGAGAACATCCCTCCAGAGTTTCAGCTTTGTAACTACTCTGGTTCGCGAAATCGTTTCCCGCCAATGAAATTTGCGTATTTTTTTCGAAGTCCGTTCTCGGGGTCTAGGAACGTATGAGCGAAAATTTTAAAACGGAAGGATGACATGCGGATACGAACATATATCCAAAGTTTCAGCATCTCGGCTCTCCTGGTTGTTGAGATGAAAACGGGTAACAAAGTTTACTCGCTTCTGAACAGACACACACACACACACACACACACACACACACA